ATTACTCTCACCAGCCCTGACACTAAAATCCAAATGAGCAATAATTAAGTCAGACACTAAACCTAATGCATGAGCGCCTTTACACACACACGCGCGGAAAGACGGACACACGTACACACTCACACACCTTTGTACAAACTGTACATGCTCATAAGTAATTCAATTTATGTCGGATGCCTTTTTGTGCCTTATGAATTCCACCACTTCTTTTAATCAGTGCCCGCCCATGCACGAGGCAGTAAAATCTTATGGAAATTAGTGAGGAATGTGCCTCGTTAAAAGATATGCACAAATTATTGCATTACCTTTAGCTTGAATGAACTCGAACATTGTGTATTTCCAATAAAGCAGCGACAATTAAAACGTCCACTCGTCCAAAGGAGTTTGTGGCTGCGCTTTGGCTCCTGCCTTGTTTTGGGTTTTTTTTATTATTATGTCGTAACACAGAGAGGCTTTTTCAGCTTTGTCGTCAGACACTGAAGCCTAATGTGTGAGTCAAGCCATGGAACAACAACAACAACAACAACAACAACATCCTGCGTCTTTGCCCGATGCACCAACATCCGTGCACTCCCTTGTTTAGAGTCTGTTTCTGCTGCCACTGCTCTGAGTTGGAGGACTTCCTAATGACTGACAAGCCAGAAACAGCTCATGCAAATCAGGCCGTGGTACCGGGGTTGAACCCCTGCATCTGTCTTCCTGCATATGCCTTCACACTGCACACAGTGTCAATAATCACAGTCCTGTGTGTGTGTGTGTGTGTGTGTAAAAGTTTTTGTTCGTGTGACATATTTAAATATGTGATTCTGTGTGTGTGTGTGTTTTTGTTTTTAAGGTCAACCACACTTTCTGACTTTCTGATGAGGCAGATGATGATTCTCTAAATTTATCTCTCATTTCCTTTATATATATATATATTTTTTTTTTTTTTGTTCTCCACCTGAACTCCACATTCCTTGTTCTTGTTTGATCACAAATATTTAGTTCCAAATTAAAAGAAACACCGACACAACACCAAAAGCCGTCTTATTTTTTTTTTTTTTTTGCGTGGGTGACACGGTGAAAACGTCGATCAGCGTCAACAACTGTAAAGAACACAAGGCAGAATGATGGCAGCAAACAAGGCTTCCTCTCAACTATGGGCTGTAATCTGAAGGTGTCATCTGATTCTCAACAGATGGCACACAACACTGAGACTGACTGAATACCAATTTAGCCCCTCCATCTGTTTCCACTGCTTACTTTTGATAACAGACACTTGACAGGTTGTTAGGATGTTCCGTTATCATCAAGTCCATTTTTGTTATTTTAAGGCATGTTGACACTGACTTCTACATGCTCTGCAATCATTTTGCAGTGTCATCCTGGAGTCATTTTGTGCTTTAGTGCGGGCAGAAGAAAGAAATGAATATATATATATATGGCGTCTTAATTTCAGTTTTTTTATCTTCTGGTCATTTGTAAGCGAACATTAAGTTTTTAAACTGCGGTTATAAAAAGAAAAATCCCGCTTTGTTAATGTGTGTGTAAAGGTCAACCATTCTGGGAGTTTGACAGTAAAACAGAAGTAGTCGCAGTTGCCTCGCAATTCCCTGAACAGTGGTCACTGAAGCGTAGTCTTCCATCGTTCTTTTACTGGTCCTGTAACTCTGTTCGTTATCATGTCTGTGTGTAGTTAGAGCTCACTAAACACAGCACTGTTTCTAACCTAAATCAGACCAATCACAGAGTCTCTGTGGATCGTGATTAATCCCTATTAATTATGATTAATCTTGATTAATCAATCGAAAAGGACAAAAGGAAAATATCCCATAGAAAGCAGATACCCAATATAATTCCAACATAAGTAACAGTTCAAAGTTAATTTGAATTCATCACGAGGCTATGATTGGGCCATTAGAAAAATCAGCTCAAATCAGGAATAATATAGAATAATATAACCTTATTAATTATTAATTTTTGTGACTTTATTTTTTTTTTACACGATAATATTTTCGTCAGTTTTGTCAGTCCAGGCAGTTTTGGGAGTCCAGTGTTGGTATTATACGGTGTATCAGTATAATGAGAAACAGGGCTTGAAAGGCAGAGAAATCACCGCGCGGTGTCTCCGCTGCGGCAGATACACAAACAGCAGATAGGTAGAAACCTGAAGCAGCTGGGAACATATTAAATCCTCCTGGTCACTGGAACTTTTCAGTCACCCGAAAAAAAACTTTAAGTCAAACAAACACATGCACATAAGTGAACCATAGGGAGAGAGTCTGCGCTGGCTGTTAATGAGGGATCATAAACCCTGAATGGCCTCATCTCCGAGAGTCCAAGGTCAGCCGGGCCAGCGTCTTAAACTGATGAATTAAACATCAGTCTATCTGTCAGCTGGGTATAAATATTTCTCTTCCATTCTGACTGGAGCTGTGTGACACCAAGCAAAAAGTTCCTCCACAGATTCCCTGACACACTGTGACATGGGGAGGGGGGGTTTGGGGGGGGAAGGAAATGATTCTTGCTGTAATGGGATCCAGGGTGAAGCATGGTAGTAGTGGAGGTTTCATATTAGGCCCGTGAAATGATGTCTTAGTGTGTGTGTAGGTACGTACGTGTGTGTGTGTGCACTGCTCTGAACTGAACTAATAGTTGCTTCTCAGCATGCAAGCATTTTGTCGGGATAGGAATTCAGCAGGCGGTATAGAGAGGCGTCATGATGCAACTTCTTGGACTTTTTAACCTATAGCTGTCTTTCACATTATCCTGAGGAAAATGCTCTTCTTATGGCTTAGTCTGTTTCTGCTGTACAATACATGTCAGTGGAGTCTGGCAAATCTGTACGAAACCGCATTATACCAGACAGGTAAATCAATCAAAGACAGAGAGAGAGAGAGAGAGCAGAAAGTTGGGTTCCAGTGATGCAACACTGCAATCACATCAGCATGTCACAACCTCCAGATATATTACAGTGGAACATGTCAGTGAATGTTGAAACGTATAGAAAATATGTCAAAGAAAGAACACGGTGCGGCTACGACAGAGACTTGGGTAACATTTAAAAAAACAAAACCTGTGACTCAAATCCATACGCTTGGCAAAAAGAACAAAAGTGAGCAAAACCAAAACTGGAAAATGACATGACTAAAAATGACTCCCCAACTACATCAATAACAATCAGAATTCCTGATCTGGATTTTCTCAAAAATCCGGATCTCAAAAGCCAAATGTCTTGAAAAATGGACTGTAATTGACATGTGTGTGTCACGTTACCTTATCTCTGGACTCAGGTCTATATTTGAAATTGTCTAAAAGACTCTCCTCTCCTCTGAAGCTACTGAAGGTAAAAACTGACACTGACGGCAGGATTCATCACTCTGCAGCTTCACTTTCCACTTTGAGGAGTCACGGGGGAAGAAAAGCCTTTGTTAAATATTGAGGGGTCAAATGGAGGTCAGTCCACCGGAAGATCAAAGCTGGTCTCTCCAGGCACTGGCTCTCTGCCAGTGCCTTTGATCGCCACCTCACTGTGGACAGCAGGGCAAAACACGGCTCTCAACTTTGGGTGTGTTTACTGTACAGTACATCAAGGGCATTTTTCTGGAAGATGATTTTATAAGTGGCTTAGGACAGTACCGAGGACAGCCACTAAAGCAGAGAGACGGTTACGTAGAGAACAGAAAGTCTGTAATAATCAGTATCAAATTTGTATCTCCTCAACCTTTTCTGAGACCCTCTCATTATCCCACTCCACACCACAAAAGGTCATTTACTCACTCGCTGTAAAACCTGACCCTGTTTAGTTAAACACAACTCTGATACACGTGCAGGAATTGAAGAAAGACACAGACAAAGATCTTCTTTAACAGCTCACAGTCTCTCTCTTTTTTTCGTTTCTTATCCACCTCCTGCCTGTCTAGATAAACAAGATGAACTATTGACAGTGAGTAAATGATAGTTTTCAGACCAGTCGAGTGATTAGTGGTTAGGAATCACAGACATGAGGTCCAAACGACGGCTACAGTCTGTTAATCCAAAGATATAAACCTGTTTTTCATTTCACTCACCTGCAGCCGTTGTAAAAAAAAAAGATATACTTGAAAATGCATTAAAACGACTTTTATATCAAAATCACTATATACAGAGTGAGAAAATACCCACGATCCTGTTGACACTCGCATCTTTACAAGACACAACATTTGTTCTGTAGAGGAATAAAACTTTATCTCTCCTGGCCAATAACCAAAACGATACGCAACTTTAAACTCTGTCATGTCCTGTCAATAAAATCGCAGAAACTTCATTTAAAACTGCCGTTTCCATATACCTCCCATAATGTTCACAAAAAATATTTATTAAAAAATAAATATTTTTAGGGGGGCAAAGGGGGGAGGGCATCAGGTGATGCCTCTGGCTGCAGCCAATTGTGGGAAATCTAATATTGACGAGGTCATGGAGCTGTACAGTACAGCCCAGACAGAGGAATGAGGGTGAGGGGAAGGAGAGGGGAGGGGGTTCAAAGTGGGGGGGGGGATAACATCGTGTCGGAAATGACATCACGGGTCGCGATTTAATTATGTTTCTAATTACTAACTGAAATTGGAAGTAGTTTGACGTCAAAATGAAAAGTGAAAAACATACTTTTGTCGGTCTCTGCTGATTCATCGTATCTTTCTCGTCTTTCTGCCGCAGCAGCTTTTACGTGTGACGCTTTTGATGATGCGTGGGTTTTCGTACATTTTTGCCACTTTTACTTAATTTAATGCGATAGAAATGGTCTGACTGGACAAGTTAGATGGTAAGAAATATGAAATAATGTCTTCATTCAATTTTCATTATAAAAACGCTCACAGTAGGTGTCGGTCTCTTTTAATCACATTAACTCTTGGTTTGGATTAATTGCGTTTATGTTTAATTGTACAGTACAGTTGTACAGTTGTGAGGCCATTTTTTCCTGCACTATGAATTGCTGTTTGTATGAAAGTTGCTCTTAAAATAAACTTTATTTCTTTGTTTAGATTCACCGATAACCTGTGGTTCCAAACTCCTGGCCCGGCGTCCACTTCCGGCCCCCGAACCTCCTCACATCTGGCCTGTGAGTAAATGTCGATTTTATTTATATTATTATACAGTATTTATATTTAACAAAAAGCTCTTTTTTTTGTGACCTTTTAATTAACGAGTTTGTGATTTTATTATATATATGGTTCAGGGTCAGATTTTTTTTTTCCAGGATTATCTGCACTGACGAAACCTGAAATCGATTAAAATAACAGTGTCTGTTTTCAGTTTTGTACTTTTTTTTTTGCCCCTTCCGTCTTTTTGCCTGCCTGTGAGACAAGTGCAAATTATCCTCTCGGCATGCCCTTGTCCTTGTACCCTTGTTTTGATTCCTCCATCCTCCCTCCTCTCTCAGCTCTTTTCCTCCCTCTTCCTGTTTTAATTTCCCACTTCACAGTGTCCTGGACAGGTTCTGTCTTTATCATAAGCACCATTTAATCTGCCTCGGAAAACACATTGTACACAATTGGAGGGTCCTAATTGATTTATACAACGTAATTACTTCATCCTGGTGCATCCCGTAAACGACAAACCTGGTCCCAGAGCCGCTAATTAGAAAGGAACAGGATTTACAGCTAATATAATTCATTATTTCCAAATTAGAGGCAGATAAGTTGTCACAACATAATGATCTGACAAATGAGCGCGCTTGTTTTCTGCTGTCGGGAATTTTGTTTGTGGGTTTTTTTTTGTTTTTTTATCCAGCCTTTGCATTCACCAGAGTTTGAGGTGCAGTTTTATCAGGTCTCATTGGCTTAAGAAGTTCCCAAACTTTTTGTTCCTCTTTTGTAGATAATTGTTGTCGAGCCCCAACCCCCCCCCCCCCCCCTCCAATCTGCCGTGTCACAACATTCACTTTTTTTTTCTTCAATGGAAAAATTCAAAGGACAAATTTGTACCGTGCTTTGGCCTAGAGGCAACGTCTCTGTCATTGGTGTGGAACCCCAGGGCAAGTTTGAATCCCGGTTAGGGCGGTTAATACCTTCCAGTGGACTCACCACCTGCAGGAAGGTTTGGTACGGTGCAATGTGATTTGGGTGGCGACTGCTGCCCCCGCGACCTGGTAACGGATAAGTGGATGACAATGGATGGATGGACAAATTTGTAACCAATTCACTCTTTTGATTGGAAAAAAAGAAATAAAATTACTTTCCCAGACTAATTACTGACTAAAAGCAGCAGAAAACTACGGGCTGTAGTTTTATATACTGTATAACAATGAAGTTCATCGTTACGTCTTGAATTATTGTTGCATAATATGAATGTATGGACCCCTAGTTTGAAGACAACTGTGTGTGCCTCTGCCTGAGTGTGTGTGTGTGTGTGTCACTGAGAGCGTCGGTCCAAATTAATTCATTCTGTCCGTGGTATTTAGGCTTTTGGAACAAACAAGCAGGGAGGCGTGGCTGTCAGCGCTCATTAGCGCCGCTGTCACCGCTGTCACTCCATAATTACCACCACTGTAAACTCAGCAGTGTCACAATCCTGCACACACACACACCTGCAGCAGCACCGGCCCGCCGTGGTCAATTAGCATGAGTCGCAGCGCATTTACTCACGCGCTAACGCTGCACGTCCACGTCCGGGCTTTATTGTCCCACTGAAAGGTATGTAATTTCACCAAAGCAGGGGGTCTTTAAGGGGCTTGATGGTCGCTCTCCTCCAACAATGCTGTCAACTTGAGTCATTGTGCAACAACCGCCCGCAAGCATTGACACATTTCATCATATCTTTGTAAAGTGTGGCTCTTTGTTGAGTTTCAGTTCAACAAGTATCATTTTTTATTTTTGTATTGTTTTTCAAAAAAAAATTTCAAAATTATTTGAAACAATGCCACTACTTATAAGCAATAATTATGCTATTTTAATACAAGTATATTAAATTATTGCTATTATTATTGCGTTTGTCATGTAAACAATTATTATTTTTTAACTACATGAGTAGAACAGTGCGATTTTAGACAAACCATGACAGAAACTGTATTATTGCTCCAAAAAACAATATGATTACTTCAACAACAACAGTATTACTACTACTACTACGCAAAAAATAATATAAATACTTCAACAACAACAGTACTACTACTACTACTACTGCTAATAGTATAGTATTCTATCACCAACTGGATTTTATTATCCAGCACAAACATCTTTATTATCTAATGGATGCGTCGTTGTTAGTATAAATATATATGCTGATTTATTCCATTTAACTGAATATTGAGTTTTTTTCCTATTTTTCCTTCTAAACAATCAAGTTTTATTTTACTCTTTTAATAGACCCAGGACATTGCCCCCCCCACTCATTTACCCCCCAGCTCTTTCTCCTCTCTTCTGCCACCTACACCCGTTTTCAGCACTGCATGCATTCTTCTATTGTGTAGCAGCAGTGTTGGACTTTGGCAGAGCTGCGTGTTCCTCTTCACCCAGGCATTGTTTTGCAGGGCGTGCATTTAAACATGTTTACGCCTCGTAATTTGACATTTCTGATACTCATGTTCGCAATTGTTACAGAATAATTGTTTGGCTGTAACAAGTGCGGCGCCGTGAATACAAATGTGATGTGGCCAGCGCCAAGAGACGGTGAGAAACTCTGCTGCTGCAGGAATTAAAGTAATTTACCAGATGATTCGCTGACATTAGCCTGTAAAATACAACCAGAAGAACAGTTTAGGTTGGAGAAGATTTGCAGTATTTTCCCAACGTTGTTGAGGTCAAAACATTTAAACGTTGTCTAATTAAAAACCAAGTGACAGAGACACAAATATAATCGATATCGTATCGATATTCTAGCACTGTATCGATTATTTTTTAATTTTTTATTATTAACCAATTAACATATAAATATTCACGGCGTTGTTTCATTTTATTTTGAAAAAAACATCAATATATTTTCGTCCCTATAGTATCGCAATATATTGCGATATATCACATCATTGCCCCTGTATCGCGGTATGTATTGTATCGCCAGATTCTTGCTGATACACAACTCTAATTAGTGGTTATTTTATATATTACATACAAATATATTTTATTATTTTGACTGATCCTTTGTCCATGTAGAGGACAAACTCAGTACTGACAGATTTTCTCTCACGCTCTTACCAAAATAGGCATAAAAGTTAATATAAAATACATTAAATTTGCTCTTTTTAAGAACAATACAGAGACAGAGAGATTATACAGGACCATTAAAAAAATAAAATAATTAAAATATGTAAAATATGCCTGGAAGTATCCAATATTTTTGGAACTAGAGCTCACAGGCCCACACGCTCGTGGAGGTAGGACTTAAATAACTGTGTGAAATTAAAATTTTTTTTGTAACTCAGCCCATGAAGTCGGCGCAGTACAAATGAAAGCAGCCGTGCCAAACTTTCACTCTGCTCCGAGAACAAAAGTAAAGTACGTTTCTACGTCTGACCTGAGACTGCACTCAGATTCAGCCGACGTTGAAAGTGTTCTTTTTCCCAAGGATATTTAAAATAATGATGTTCAACGAAATCTCGCCTCAACGCGAAGTCAGACTTTTCAGTTGTGGTTTATTTCAATCCACACATAAAGCAGCGAGTCTCTGAATCCGAGCAAAAGGAGGAAGAGAGTGTAAACCAGGCCAGCAGCAGAACCGAGCAGAGGTCGGTCCAGGGTCGGTGAAGGCCCCGCGGCCACAGAGTCAGAGTCTTCTCTTGGAGGACGGACACACAGATAAGGCCCAGGTAGTTCATACAGTGCTGGGGTTTAAGAGGGCACCCAGATATCTGCCATCTAATAGGACTAACTGACTCAGACCGACTGCAGATAAGGAGCAAGGACTTGTTGCCCTCGACAGGAACAAGTCGACTAATTTTCACACTTTTCTACCACTTTCTACTAACAAACACAACAGAACTGGTACAAAAAATGTTTGACTGAGATTCATTTGTACAAACGAAAACATTATTTACTTACAATAAAAGCCAAAAATACTTACATCGAGGGGCACCGGACGAAGGAAGCTTTTTTTTTTTTTTTTTTTTTTAAAGAAAATGTCTTCAAGAAACCTACTCCGTCCAGTTGCCCTCGATGTAACTATTTTTGGGTAAGACGACCTGGATGACTGAGAATCCAGTAAAAAACAAAACAAAAAAAACACATAAATCTGGAGTCTGAAATCCAGAACAACTAGGACCAGGACAGTGCAGCTACAGCCATGACGCTAAAACTTTGTCCGAAATTTTGCTACGATCTGGACTTGATTTAAAACTATGGCGCTAGGGCCAACACGATGGACATCTAATCCACACGTCACGGTCCTTCTATTTACTACTGGTATGACATAAATGTTAAATTACTCAATTATGCACATCAATATTTGCTCATGAATTGTTTACGATGTTGAGCTGTCGATAAAGTCAACAGCACATAAACTGCAAACGTGTTGGACAGGAAGAACGAGTCCAGGTTATTTAGTCCTCAGTTGTGTTCCAGGAATATTCCAGTATCATATTCAGGGCTTCTTTGTTGCTACTCTGATACTACGTGTATTATTATTTATGACATACCGTTGTGCCTGGTGTACAGTTCATCTACGAAGAGGCGTGATGAATGTGAGTCATGTTTTTATTTTTATTATTTTTATTCTACATGAGCTGAAACAGAGTTGTCAAAGCTCCTTATAGAACCCCACGGACAGGGACCGGGTGGGAAATGTGACATTTTGGAGGAAATCGCCGTGCACTGATTGAAGTTGTTCGAGTGAAAGTTTGGATATAAAATGTACACGCTGCAGATATGTGGGTTTTTTTTTTATTTTTCTGCTCCTCATGTTGAACAACAGAAGGAACATTTTCTAAAAGATTAATAGTCGATACAGGAAAGAAGTATGTTTTGACATCGTTGTCTGCGTATCCGTTTCCGTGGTCGTGTCCTGGTTTCTTTTCTGTTGATTTTAAACAGTATTAACATAAACTTTTGATGATATTTACGCAGCTACCAACCAGGTCAATCCATCACAGACTTAAACCATTAAATGTGTTGACGATACTTTAAACTGTTAAATATATATTGTAGCCCAAAGACACACACCTCCATGCAACACCGCTTTCACCTCTGTGGGAGTAAGGCTTGGTTTACTCTGCAGCAAAGTAGAGCGACATAGTTCTGTGTGTTTGTGAGAGAGAGAGAGAGAGAGGGAGCTTTGTGTTTTCTTCACTCGAAAACAAACAAAGACCGAGTTGTTAAACTGTTATCAATATTTCTCCAAACCCCGGCAGGTGTGTCCCACATGCCTTTATATTTATAACTTCCTCCCGTCGACTCACCCTCCAACAGTGTTGCACAACATGGTGCCTTCATGTAAATTCATGTGGACACGAATCCGTAGGGAATTTGAAAAGGAATCTTACAGTACTTTTTTTTTCTCCTACAGTTTTACAAAGAAAAAAAAAATCCTGCTGTTGATTGACATAATCTCACCTTTAATCCATCCATCCATTTACCATCCATCCAACCATCCGACATCCATCCATCTGATGGAAACATCACTTCACTTCAAGTTGAAACTTAAACCCAGGATATGTCTATAAAAATCTTTATTTTCCTACAAATTATTTTTGTCTTGGAACTTTTTGACTCCCCCCTCGTCATTGTGCAGTACATACTAAGTATGTTATGTGACTTTGAAGTATTTTCTACTACCTCGTAGCAGTAAAAGTTATGCTATCTTCTAAGCTATTGTCACAACATCAGACAATAACAGAAGGCAGACGCCGACCATCGATTGGTCGTTGGAACAAAGGCCCCGTTATTTAGTCATTTTCTCAGCTGCAAAAACTCAGATGGGAGGCAGGTTACGAAAAACTGCAACAATCTGTTTGGAATACAGGGGCAGCGGAGGGAAGGGGGCGCTCCACCTCATGTGGTTTCTTGAAGTAATTAGACAACACTTCAACACTTTGTGTCAGTGGCGTTCATCCCTGAGCGGTCTCTTCTCTTCCACTCTGTTCCAGCCCGTCCTTCTCCGTCCTCCTCTTTTTTTTTTTTTTCTCCTCATCTCACACCGTTCTTTATTTATACATTGCTCTCACCCGTTTTCTCACACTCTGCCTGGTTGTCTCCTGAGTCACCTTCACTCCTCCTCCTCAGTGCTCTCCTCCTCCTCCCACTCTGCTGTGTTTTATGACTAAAAGCTGTTATTCCGCTCGGCTGCCGCCCGACTCCTCTCTGTAATATTTCATTCATCAGAACAATTAAAGCGGAACATTGGTTTCCAGGGTGATAATTAGGGCTTGATGAGTGAACCTGAACAGCACCAGGACAAGACAGCTTGATTACTCTCATTTGCCGGTCTCTGTGCTATTCCAGGGTTATTATCCATTGTCTTGTCAAGCAAATAGAGGAAGAAAACAGCCATGAAATGGAGAGAGGTGAGTTCAAGAAAGACGGATCGAGACAGAAGTGTGGAGGAAGGAAGAGTCATGGGAGAGTTTGTTGGGGATGAGTGGCTCGTAATAGGAGCGGGTCTTTTGGATACTGATACAGCACATTAACTTCGTCTCCTGCTTCTTTTCAATAAAACACCCGTGGCATTGCTAACCCGGCGCCTCTGACCAGGGACCTTTTCTCCAACTATTAAAAACCGCTTAACCGCTATTTTTAGCTTTTACACCTTTTTATTGAATTTCGAAACTTTTCCAACGCCCAGATTTTATTAATGTGAAGAGCAGGCAATGGCTTTCACCTTCAAAGTGAGCGAAAGGCACAGACGCACATTTGGAGTTTAACTGTAGTCGAAATACTTAAGTGAGGTGGAAAAGGTATTTGCGTAAAAAGTGGGAAAATACTCCCTTCAAATGTCTCGTCTCCACTGGACAATTTCAGGTTTTAGAAAATGTGGCAACAACAATGGAGTTCAGTTAAATCGATCGATTAGATCAACACAGTCCAGAAGAATACGAGTTTAGGTAGAAATAAAAAACTAAAAAAACTAAGAGGTGGCTAAATATATATATTTTTAAATTTGCTATTACAATAATGAATTAATTTGTCTATTTTGACTTGAATAGTTGAAAAAACAAAGGTTTGCAATTCAGTTGAAAGCAAAGTAAAACAGAATAATAGAATGAATAAAAATAAATTAAAAATCAACCTGGATAATATGCTATTATTTTTTTTCCTAAGGATAAGGTGTGTTTTTTTTATTGTTTTTTTTTAATAAATCATCTTAAAAATTTCTCTTCAAAAATGAGAGCAAAGTCCTTTTTTCCCGGTGCCTAAATACAATATACATGAGGTGGACTGGACACAGCAGAGCAGCAGAGATCACAGCACTCTCCAGCCTGCCCCAACACACCCCCTGCCCCCCCCGCCCCCTGTATGGTGTGTGTTTGTTTGGCGTTGTTTTGATCGCCAGTGCTTGTGTGTTTGGGCTGTGCTTACTGGGCGGCGTGTGTGTCTGGTGCAGAGCTGATGGCGTGCCAAGTGCTCCCTGTGGACGGGCTGTGCCTTCCAGTCTGCTCAGCCACCGTGAACACCGCGCCGACAGACTGCTGCAGGGGAAACACCACTTCCTCAGTCCTCCTCTCACGCTCCTGCACAGAGAGGCTGCGACGGCGCTCAACGTGACCTTTTTGTTGAATTCAACCTCATTTGTGTAGAACTTTATAAAAAAAATAAAAATGCCTGTAAGAAAATTAAAACTCACCAGTGTTTCTAATATTAGTGTGAGGAGGGTACATGACGGGGGGGGGGGGGGCGGGGGGGTCTTGTTATTTTTGTTCAAGTCACAATGCATAATTGCCAGCGATTCACGTTGCTTGTAGCCATCATGGCTGTTCAGAGACGTCCTATCTCATTGAGTGGAGCAGGAAACCCCTGCTCGGGCGTTGAGTTGCAGCCCCTACTGTTCATTAACATTTAGCTCTAATTGCCAGGCTCATTAAAGCATCGAATTAGCAGCAAAAAATTCTTTCAGCCCCCTCTCTGTGCTCAATCGTTAAGCAAATGGTGCATCACAAGCTTGAAGTAATTACTATTGAGATGTACATGTCACAGACCCACGAAATGTCAGTCGGCCGCCCCGAAGAAGACGAG